CCCCCCCCCCCAAGCGCCGAGGAAACGCTCGTAGGCGTGACTAGAAATCGAGCAGCTCTTTCGTCACCCATCCATTCGGAACGCCTCATTTTACCTCCGTCTGCACCACGCCTTCGTTCTTGAGGAAAATCAGCCTTCGGTAGACCCCAGCCGGCCGACCCGCGTCTTCATCCTCGTCCTCGTCCTCCTCCTCTTCCTCCTCCACCACGTAGTTGCCGCTACACTCCAGGCGCCCTTCCGCTACAACCCTGCCCTCCGCGCCCAAGCCGTCGGCCACCTGTGGGGTCGAAACGAAGAGAGCCACGGTGACGGCCGGGCGGATCCCACTAGCCAAGACACCCAACGGAGTTCCGCTTAGCGTGAAACGTACCCCTCACGAAGCAACACCAAAATAATCTCGGTGGTATGGAAGCAAACTGAATACCAAATCAACCAAATAAAACACCCACGTGATCCCGACACCACACGACACCACACCACACCACAATCGATCGTTTCCTTACGCGGAAAACTGACGTGCCATCAAGACAAAACACACTTGACGCGCAGCGCAGCCAGACGCGCAGAGACAACTCCACCACCCCCGAGGTCACCCGAAAACATCAGTCCGCGCAAGCTAAGAGACCCGAAAAAGCCACACTCACGGCCATGATGGGTATGCCGGGCCCTCCGGTGGCCGTCGCCGAAGCCTCGGGAGCAAAGTCGGAGATGGAAGGGGAGATCTCCGCCTTGACCCCTTCCACCCCGTGGGAGAAGTCGTGCCCGCGGTTGAGGCGGACGGCAATAAGACGACGAGCGTTCGCGCTTGCGGCTACCTGGACGGAACGTGGTCATGTGTATACGGTATGCATACGGCAGACAGTAGTGCGGTTGCATCATTGCTGGGTACCCCCGCTGGGGGAAGAACCAAAACCAACCATGCACACACCTTCTGGGTAAGTTGGCGGCTTGCCTGAGGGGTGATCGGCACCATCCCCGGAAAACAATCATCACAAACTTGCCAAGGGTCGTGTCTGTCCTCTACACGGACTTCGACCGCGAAGGGCGGAAGGACAGTCAATTCAACAGCGTAACATACATTTGCCGCAGCCCGCGCGCAACAAGAGTTCCGCTTTACCGAGCGCGAAAAATCAAGGCACTCATTCAGGCATCGAGTTCCGATGAGTCTAAGACGGAACGAACTGAAACGCCAAGATGCATCGGGCAACACCAACGCCGGAAGGACAAAGGGGTCGACATCATCAACGGAAAAAGAAAAGGGGCAGTGCGGCAGCAACACACTAGCTAGGCAGGGGACCCGCACAGTGGCGGACCTGATGGAGACCCTCGCGAGATGAGAAGGCAAAGTCTCGGTCCCTGCCTCGAGGAATCAGTACGACCGCGCAAGGCACCGTGCTCGCCCTGCCGTCGCTGGACACGTCCACGACTAGCAGCGTAAAGCGGGGGGAGTCGTGTTCCCCTTCTCCCCACAGGTCCTCCTGCAGAGAGAGAGAGAGGGAGCGGGGGTAAGAGAAGCCGGGCACAAAGGAATGTATAGGAAAACGGGGTCCGCATCTGTGCACGAAAACTTCGGGTGGTGTGTGCATGTGGTGGTCACAGGACCAAGACGGCCGTCTCCCCACAGGTCCTCCTGCAGAGAGAGAGCGAGGGAGAGGGGGTAAGAGAAGCCGGGCACAAAGGAAAGTATAGGAAAACGGGGTCCGCATCTGTGCACAAAAACTTCGGGTGGTTCGTGCATGTGGTGGTCACAGGACCAAGACGGCCGTGATGCAGACCGCATCTTTGGGGCACCCACGGAAGATCTGCTCCTATCCCTCTCGCCTCTCGCCCGCTCATTTCTACAAAATTGCTGTGCTATATATACGTCTGTCGGTCTCCCTCCCCTCAACCTCGGTCCCGACGTTGGTTGTTGGTTGTCTTGCCTGTTGAAATCTACCCGGCTTGATCTCCCTAAGGTCGAATCGTCGTCGGTGCATCTCTTGAGCCTCTCTGACGTGTAGCAGCACCTGAGTGAGCCAAACAAACGCAAAGCACCGCGAGCCGCCACAGTCAGCGTAAACACGGCACAAGGCAGGGAGGCGGGGAACGTCGGGACGGGTCCAAAAACATTGAAACCACGTGTCGAGCTGAGGAGTTGGAAATGACACTGGTGAAAACTGAGATTCGGAGGTAAAAGTAGGTAGCGTAGCTGGATCCCTCCCTCCCCCCTTTCTCACCCCCCCTTCAGTATTGCTGTTCAGTAGCAGCAGTGACAAGGCGTCCCGGACCATATCGAAGACCATGACAAATAAAAGCCCGAAGAAAATAACTTGAACACCACCTCATGGCGTATGCCTCGTAGGGACGGCCACCATCCAATAACCGTTCATCTTGGGGCGCGGCAACTGCAACACACGAAGTCGAAACGAACGGCGGAACGCGCGTATCCCAACCGACCAAATGCCTCAACAAGCGGTGCTGACAAGCAGCCTTAGAAACATTCGCAACGATACACCGCTTTCCCCACCGCCTTCCGCTTACTTCTGTCTCGCCAACCAGTACCGACGGCTCCCCTCCGACACCCAGCGGTCTCCCTGCCATGTCGCACCACGCCGTCACGCGCATAGCTTCACCACCCCCCTCGCCACCGGCCTCCGCGATAGGTTCTCTTTCGTGGGTGGCCGACGATTTCGTCGCAACCACGCACACGGGGAGGTAGGGCGAGGGCTTGGACGTGGCGGCTGCGGAGTGCAGGTCGAGCTTCCAAGAAGACATACCGCACATGTCGCCGTCGGAGTTGGCCGCAGCGGCAGCAGCGCCGGCGGCGGGGAGAACGGCGGCCGGTGCAAACGAGGAGAGGAAGGCCGAGCCGATGAAATCCTGCCAAAGCGTCACGCACATGTACCTGTCACAGGGGATTGTTGTTTCGAGCAGGTTTCAAGCAGCAGCAGCAGCAAGGAAAAAAAAGGGTTGATGGTTAACGACGGGAATGGGCCGGTCAGGTCGACAGAATGGAAGCTGCAAGATCTGCGCCGCACGCTACGTCAACCACACGCAAAGTGAACACACCGTGGGATAGCGCTCCCTACACTAGGAAGGACCGGTACGTCTCGAGTCATCGTTTCAACCAACACTCCCCGTGCTGGAATCCTTGAGGGTAAAACAAGCAACAGCGACAGCAGCAGCAGAGCACTTGTACATAGTTTTTCCGCCAACACCGACCGACCTTCCTGTGGGCTTGAGGACTCTCTTAACCTCCCGCAGCATGGCTTCGCCGCTCTCCCTGACCTCGACGGTGTCCTCTGACATGAGGGCGTCGAGGGTCCCCTTGTCTACAACTGCGTCGAAAGAGCCGTCCTCGTATCTGCGCGTGAAAGAAAAAACAGGGTACCATACAATTTCGCCGAACGATGAATATGGGGATTGAGTTGGGAGGGTGGATTGACACGTTCCCACGGCGGACTGTCAGCTGCCGCGCTCGCGGTTATGATGTTGATATAAAGTTCATCCCGTGCCTGATTCTCGGGTGCCGCCTTGCTGTGCTGTAATTCGCGAACGGCTCATGCTGCAGCTGAATGTTGCGGAAGACTCATGTTGCAGATCATGCTGCCGCCAGCACGCGCACGACATGCCCACCCGCAGTCTGACACGTGAGCCTGCTGAACCATAAAATAGTGCTGCTTGCCGTGCAGTTTGGTGCGCAAAACAGACAAAGAGGTTATCACGAGGCAAGGGTACTGTCTGTTGCATCAGCATTCCCAGAAACCCTGCGTGTGTTAGAGTCCTGAGTGAAACCTCCGGCGCCGCAGGAGGGAGTCAATTAGCACCCGGGGGGAGGGGGGGGGGGGGCG